AAAATTTTATTATTGGCAAAGTATGTTAGGGGTCCGTCGTAAAAAAAAGCGTTCAAATGTTTGGTGGGGGGCGGGGTATGCTTGGAACCCCCAAAAGTAGTAGTTATGTGATATGAACAAAGTTCACGGGTTTATGTCAAAACCCCCCCAAAAGTTCAAGGGTTTGGTGAAATTACCCAGATGTGCCATGAGTATACATCCTACTTCTTCATGCTCACACTTTTTTCCTGGTCACTTTCAGGAGCATCACTGCAAAGGATAGGAAAATACAAGGACGCCATAAAGTACCATTCTCGGGTTCTGGAGATATCGAAGAAAACTGGTGAGGATTCTGGGACTACAGAGGCATATGGGGCAATAGCTGATTGCTATACCGAGCTTGGAGATCTTGAGAGAGCTGGAAAATTCTATGACAAATACATTGCGAGATTGCAGACTGACTGATCAATCCAAAGCATTTAGTTGCCTTTCTTCTGTATGAATTAGGTGATTAGTTTGAGAATCGTGAGGTTGATCAGATCGCGGCATTTTCAGCTTTTTCCATTTTATTTTCTCGTTGCTGCCAATCCGAACTTGTCAGTGGATTTGTATGTAATGATTGTGTATTAAAACATCTTTTCTCTAGATTTTGTTGCTTGTTAAGTATGATTTCCTTCCTTAACCTCTCTTTCTATACTTGAGCTCATAAATGTTTGTGCTGTTACAGCTGAGGGATCAACAAAATACATAATATGGATAATTTTCCGAAAATTACCATAAACTATTAGGTACTTTGTACAATAATAACAAAAACTATTCATTAGAGGAAATATTATAAATTTTAAAATCTGGAGAAAAATAGTATACAGTAGCATAAATTTAGAGCAAATGATAGGAGAGTAATTATATTATATATGCTATATTATTAACTTTCTAAAGGCGTGTTCAAATGGAAAAAGTTCACAAATAGAAAGACATCTTTGCTCTTTTCAGAAAATAGAAATCTTAGATGCTTGTACATGCTCAAGTGTCATCACCATAAATTATACAAATTACAACTATACGAGTTTAAGTTAAGACTTGAATTAATTCCGATGTCATGAAGAGGACTAACAAGCATTATGAAGTATGAACCATTTTTAAAAAAAAGGTATCTAAAACCCTTTTAATAAACAAATTCATCTTAAAAAATACAATGTAATAAACAGCTTGATACATTAAAGAGATTTAAAAGGCCGAATCGTCTGCTTACAGAGTTGCAAATTTTTCTGAAGCTGATGATTACTCAGAGTCTCACTGTTACAACAAGTAGTAACTTGAAATACTATTTGTTCTCTCTTTCTTTGTCAATTTGAGATGAAATTTGAGCCAAGAGGACCGGCAATCTACTCTCTCTGCATCAAGAGTTGAAGCAATACTCTTTCAACCAAGTCAAATTAAAATCTATAGTCTGGATCCACATCCATTGCCCATGAGAATTTTGCAAGAAGAGACTTGTTGAAAATCTGCAAAAGTTAAAGGAGGTGCCAATTAACCAGGACAATCAAACTTCTAGTTAGGTTACGAATTGTTGATTATAACTGTCAGCGTCTTTCCAAAATGTTCAGGAAAAAATAAAGTGAGTTTCAAAAAACAACCATGATTGGTGGCTTGTACAAAACTACCTTAAACCTGTTTTATTAGAGGGAAAAAAAACTACCTGGAACTTTTAAACCTGCAGAAAAATATCATGAACAATCGGAAATTTTTTGTTAACGATGTTAAATTTTCGGATAAAAGGTCAAACTGCCCCTATTTATATCTACCAACCCAAAAAATTCACTTAGGCAGCATAAAACATATATAAAGATTGCAATGGCAAATTTGTCCAGAGCATGTCACATTCAAGGCATGTGACAGCTTACCCTAACTGTTGTGAGGCAGGATGGTTTAATGAAAAAAGTTCATGTGGTAGCTTGCTCTGGTAAAAAAAAATTATGATAGTTTTCTGCAAAACAACTCAGAGTTCATGATAATTTTGTGAAACTCTGAGCCTATTATATCTATCAACCCAAAAAAATCACATAGACAGCATAAAAGATATATAAAGAATGCAAGGGCAAAATTGTCCAGAGCATGTCACATGCTTGCATGTCACATTCGAAGCATGTGACAACTTACCCTAACTGTCGTGAGGCAGGATGGTTTAGTGAAAAAAGTTCATGGTAGCTTTCTCTAGTAAAATTGTTTTATGGTAGTTTTGTGCAAAACAACCCAAAGTTCATGATAATTTTCTGGAACTGTGAGCCTTTACTAGGACCTTCACTGTCCCAAGGGATGATTATGAGAATGTTAGAATATCATCAAAATTTCACTAAATTACAGTAATTTTATTAAAAAAAAGTTGATGACATACCACAAAATTATCACAATAATTCTAGTTTAACCGTTCTAGAACTTAAAAATATGTGGAAATCTCATATGATGGGAATGACATATAATCTAATCTAGAACTTAAAAAGTGCATTGAATGATCAAAATATTTTTAAAAAACATGTAAAGACTCTTACAGAAAGCACCAGGAAGAGCATTATACCTTCTCTATAGGAACTTCATTGCGCTTACACCATGCAACCGATATTCTAGGATCAAGGTAATTGATCTTGGAAGTGCCCAATGCTACAGTCTTCAAGTCCTCTTTGACCTTTTTATCTATTTCCATTTTCTCTATCTTTGCCTCAACCTGGTTAAGTTTCTTCTCTAACCTGCAAATTAATTTGCATCAGCAAGCAAAAAGATGTAAATTCATAAATAAGTTCTTAAGAATACGCTCTAGTTCCTTACACTTCAGGGGACAAGTTCTTCTTCTGCTTAAGTGTAGGCTTTCCTTTTCTTGCCCTGCTCAAATCCACTTGCAACTCCTCCTTTTGTGCCTAATCAAGCAGAACAAAAAAAAAAAATCAGAAGGGAAGTGATGAGAACAAGGAGGCGGAAGAAATTTAGGCAGAAGAATAAAATATATCTAACCTTTAACTCGTCTATTTTCTCATTCAATCTTGACATCTGAGCATCATGAGACTTTGAAACACTGCGCTGATGATTGCATATAATTGCAACCTGTAGCACAAATAACTCGACAGTGACAGCAGTAGAAATGTCTAAACCAATTCTACAACACACGATGAAGCTGCAAATACCTCTTTATTTGCATGCTGATAAATAGCAATTTTTTCTGGTAGTGTACCCTCCTTGGTTTCTTCAAACAACTGTCATTTGATGCAATGAAGACAATGTTCAGAATGAAAAGCCTTTTATGTGATAAAATATGATTAAAAATTTATTCATATCTGAAATGCAATTTCACATTATGTCATGAAAATTTGGGTAAACAACTACAATGATCACTGGACTTTTCCAAATACATCGTCATCCAATATCATGAGAGACAAGAGAATGCTGATAACCACCCAGATACAGAATGCAATGCACTAGAACATTGAATCTATATATTAACAATAACCAGCCAGCATTCCCAGGAACTGGAATAGAGATTGCCCTTCTGCAAAGACACCAGGATGCATTGCAAGCTTTACATCATTGATACTCGATAGTTTCACTTCCTTATTTCCACCTGTTCCATACCATTATTAAATGTGTTACCTTAATTACAGTTTGAAACTTTTGTTTCTTTAAGTTACATGTTAGATGTTACAAGTAGTTCCCACTTGTTTCCTCTCTCTTTTAAGTGTTCTTGTCAGGTTCTATCCCTTCAGTGGAGAAAACTAAACCAAGAGCAAGGCACTAAGAGAGGTCGTTTTCATCAAACCCTGAAGACTTAAGATTTTGCTTTGCATATATAATACATGTCTCTGAAACGTAATAGTAACATTAAACTCCCCAGCAACGCAGACTACAAAAGATTAATTTGGTCAAGGAACTTGATTGCAATATTAACTTGATTGCAATATTTTTCTGTACAGAGTTAACAAAGTTGGCTGAGGTGAAGGAAGAGGCAAACTCCTGAAATAACATGTCTAGGTCTAAAGACCACAAGAAGAATGAAGGTATAACGGCACCTGACCTGCAACTACGGAAATACAAGCAACCTTTAATCATTAAAGCGGACAAATTAAAGGTTGAAAAAGAACCAACATACAATACATATCTACAGATATATTGAAAACAGAAACCTTTTTTTAATGCGAAAACAGAAACTAAGTCATAAAAACATGATTGCATCATACTCACCATGGAATCCAAGGTAATGGACGCATTATATGTTCGAAAAACTTTTGCGGTGAGGCCAGGCATGAGCTCCTTTAAATGAGCATTAAGTTTACTTGTGTCCAGCATGTCAAAAAGGTCATCTCCACCAGCCTTTTTCTTGCCATTACTTTTTGTAACTAAAAAACCAAAAAAAATTATCATTATATTAGATGATGAGATAATAAATCAAATGAGATCAACTAAATATTTGCCGTGATTACCAGTTTGGAAATCTCCAATTGCTTTATAGACAGGCAACTCAACCTCCACAGTATTGAAATATCTGATTGAATCTTTACCAAGGAAGTCGAACTGGAAAAATTAAACAAACTAAAAATCAGTTAGAAATAGAAATGTAGTGGAACCCCATCAATTCTCCTACCTGTAACTTATTTGGAGGAACACATGTAACATTCTCCACTTTCAAGGTACAGCAACCCACAGTATCCGCCTCATCATCATCCTGTTGAAAAACAAAATCCATAAATTCTTCATAACTTTTCTAATAGATGACATGTGATGGTGCGATTGTCCAATGACATAATTATCTGCAAACTTTTTTAAAGAGAAAAATATTATGACCATATATTGGTGCAGCTGCATAAAAATTACTTGAAATAGACAAAAGCCACATATCCACTTAATTTAGCAGATAAAAGAACATAGAGGAATAGTTTAACAGCATTGGTACTGCCACTTCAAAGGAAATGACTATTACAGCCAGAGAAGGACAACTTAAGGAATTATATAAATAAGAAACTTCTAACTAGGTAGTCATGTCAAGATAAAAAGGCCAATAAAATATTTATGCTAATACACTAACAAGGACAATAGACTGCAGAACTTGGTGGTTAATTTGTTTCTCACACACATGCCCCAAACCAATCATAACAGTCATAATGATATCCTCCCTGCAATACTCCATATGATTAATTCACCTTAAATCAGAAGAGTCACTTTCTGGAAAGCAGATAGGCGATATACGGACTACTACACATCACCAAGCATGTACATGGTTTAACAAAAATTAGTGATCCAAATAATTCATGAAAATCCCAAATTTAGTAATATGAACCCTCCAAATATTTTAATGAAAGAGGGTCTGAAGTGCCAAGTTTAAACATGTCGGATTTGGAAATTTACATATTTCAAGAAACATGGTTTAGAGGACATACATGTACAACCGAAAAGAAGGAAGATTGACTCCCAAAAGCATCAATAACCAGACACAGAAAGCAAAGAGAAAAGAAAAAAAAAGAAAAGAAAATCAATAAGGGTATGCTTAGCCGGTAGCAGATTACTTTTTCATTGCCTGCCCTTAGCGCTAGCTTGTCGATGAGGTAAGTTGCCACCGCAATCTGTCTCTTGGTAGGATCTTTACTGGTGAAATCCTTTGTATAGGTTGCACGTATGCCTTCTATGTAATCCTGCAAAAAAGTTCATAAAAAATAAGCATCTCAAAATGCACCAAAATTCACTGCCAGCTTAGGATAAATCACAGTAAAAAACATTAAATAAATCTCATGCACTCCCAGTCACTAAAGCCAGAGCATTGTAGCCAGAGAGGATTCAGAAACTTGCACATAACTTGCGGCAAAATTTTGGAATTTGAAAGAGATCCAGAAATCATTCAACAGCTAGGTTCTGGATACAAGGGAGATAACAATTCTATTTCTTATTTCAGTAATAAGTCTATACTGACACATAGTGAACAATAAGTTATAGTAATAAATGAGAATACTCTCCTACAAGAGGGACTGGTCTCCAGCTTATTACACTCAATTTGAATTGCCTAAATTCAGGTTAGTTGAAACTTTTGGAACCCACGGAACAATTTTAGAATTTTGTGAATAAATCATGGATTAACATAAAATAATTTGCAGACACTTTGAATACTTTGTGAATCTCCCCTAGATGTGTATCAGGTCCTGTTACCTCTGTGGCTCCATTACACAAATTATTTGAACCTTACCAAAAGTAAGTGACTCCTGTGAGTAGGACCCAGAATAGCATGTTGATACAAAATGCATCAAATAGTAACAGTAGTTCTAGATGTTGATGCGCTGTTACCTTCAAAAGCCTAGCCTTCTCATACTTTTCTTTGTCGCTTTGACCTTTCAATGAACTGCTCGCTGCCAAAAATACATACTTAAACTCTTTGGGATTTATAGGATCATTCCAAAACGCTAGCCATGTAACGGTATTGTCATGTCTTATTTCTTTCCACCTGCAAATACACCAAATGATTGAACGCATCAAGGACACTACTACGAGTTTACAACCACAAAATGGGCCTCACGACAGAAGAATAATATTTGATTAAGTAAATTAAACCGTGCAACACCTTTGACCAGGAATTGGACATTCTGGAACCGGAGCATCTTTTCCAATATTGATGGTAATATCTTTTGGCCGAATTCGACTTTTGAGCTTCCCCATCTAAAGATCACATAATCATACGTTATATATTGAATACAAGAATCTACAAATTATTAGAGATGAATAACTTAATGAATTACACTTATTCTTTCGCAAACAATTGTTACAAGATATTTTTTCAGCAACTGATTTGAGATCTTCCATAACAAGTAAGGTTAAGATCCAGTTTTGACCAAATTTGGCAGCCACCATATTGATTCTACTTTATAAAGTAACAAGTGTCTTGAGAAATTGATAATGTTAAATCTGAACCTTTGGGTGTTCTCCGCGGCCTCGGAACAATCCTGGTGGCTCAACTCTGAAATTACCAACCTGGGTAAAATGGTCAAACTAGTCAGCTAACAATATCAGAAGAAAAGAAAATAACAGAACCATACAGCATAGGAAACTAGCAAACCATAATAACAAGCATAAAAACTATTACTTATATGGAAAGGAAGAAAGACGGTTGAATGAAATCTGATCATTTAAGACCAAAGTAGAATGGAGAAGAGCAAAGCATCGGAGGCATAAAGGACCAAATATTTAAGGAACAAAGGATTACAAGTATAAATTTCGATAAGGCATGAAGAACAGAAAAACCAAGAGTCATTCCGCTGACAAAACATTGACTTTCCTCAGATGTAAAAATTTTTGACAAAACCAAGGATTCAGCTACACAATAAAATGAACATATCAAGAAGAAAAAGTTCCTCAATAGCTTAAAAGAGAGAAAAAGAAAATTAATTTAAAGTATAATGAAGAAAATTAATGCAGTACAGAATATACACAACTCAAATAGTCTGAATTGAGGCATCCTTCTAGATATAGAGATTCATAGTCAAAGGTTTGCTAGCAACTATCTGGAGCAAATTCATACAAAATCGTCATAGTTTAATGAAATTTAACGTTTGATCAATAAAGACAACCGTTTGCATGCCAGCAGTCTTAAAAGAAACTATAGGCCACAAGTTGCAGATGATAAATAGGACCAAAAAATTTGTCAAACTGAATATGGATTATATTATTAAACATTTATACTTCTAGATTTCTAGTTATACTGACATATCAAAAAGAGAAAATTTATGATAGTAGAGACTAGCATTCGTGCACAGGTCAGAAATAACCTTCTCTTTTACTCCATCAACAATAGCCCACATATATTTCTCCTCTTGCTTCAATTTCTCTTCTTTCAAGGCCTTCTTCTCCTATAGAAGCAACACAAGCTATTTATGCCTTCTGTGTGAAAATCAACTTAATGCATGCAGTAAACATGATGTCTTAACATTCACCAATTTTCTGGAATGCTTACATAAAAGGTCATCCCATTGAAATATAAAAGCAAACATGACTTGCTTCAGAGTCAATATCGCACCAAATCAAGGATAGTGGCAGGAATAACATGTGAACTCGAAAAGAAAACCACTATCTAAGTATTAAGAAATGAGTCACTTTTTATTTATTTTCTTTCTTCTTTCTTTTTCTCTTTAATGCTTCTTTCAGCATGAAGAATCTAAAGACATGAAATTAAACATCCCACGTGACTAATCTATTGTTATCTTAAGTGCAAATAAACAAAAAGGTTAAACAAATTAATTACTAAATCATACACATGAAGTGTTCTTTTATCTTTGTGTTCAAAAGAAATATTATACAAAATGTGGATGTGAAAGGTCAAAATATAAGCAAGAGTATTCTAACAAAGAACGAAAGTAACATAAAAAAACAAAGTAGCACCTAAAGTTTCTAGTGATAGTAACTTCTGTAGTAGCCCTTATGGTATGCTAAATAACTACAAGCAGTCAGACACCATCCAAGCACATAATTCCAGAAATTGTGGCAAGAAAGCAAGTGTTCTAGACTTTAATGGACAGCTAGGTTTTTTTTTTATTTGATAGAAAAGGAGTAGAGCTACTTCATTATAAACAATATTATTTGAAATGTATTGTTCCAGAAATTTTATTGAGCAAACCAGAGTTCTAAAATGATAGAACAGTATGGATCAAGGTCCTTATTAAAGTGTACCATCATAACAAACACCTTCAAAGGGTGATACAGTTGCAGGTAGCACTTACTTCTGAAGTCATTTGCTTCTTCTTTTCCTTCTCTTTTAGATGCCATTCATAGATTGGAGTAAAATCACAGAGCTCAAATTTCTTTATGATATGGTTTTTACCAAGTATGCGTCCCCAATCTTCCATAAAGTTCTTAATAAATGTTGGTTTGGTGGCATAATCAGTATCCTTCATCACTGCAAACATTGTTGCAACCTGCAGAATAAAAATTCAGAATTAACCTATTTCAATTCTGTATATAAAGCTCATACTATCGAAAAGAAAACTAAAGGAATGGAAACAAAAGATGAATATGTAATACAGTTATGTGTGTATATTTGAAACCTCACCTCCTCTTGCTCAGGAGTCAAATCAACTGGCTGTCCATTGTAGAGCATTTTAACCCCATGTGGCTTGTAAGGAGGAGGGAAAATAACACCATTGTGTTCCAAGGTTGTCCATTTCTGTCCCCCACCTGACCCAGGAGGCACTTTAAGATTTTTCGAGTATTTAGAGTTTTTCATCGTTTTTTTCATCATCTTCTTATCTTTCTTGAACGAATAAGCTATCTTCTTTGTCACCGTCTTTGTGGACAATTGGCTGCTGGAGGGAACAGACTTCTTGATTCTCTGTGAAATTGGTATGTGATCATTATCATCTTCTTTTTCTTTCTTCAAAACAGCTTCAGTTTTAACTTTTCCAGGAACAGGGGCATTTGACAGTTTTGCTTTCTTAGATGAAGACTCAATAGAATGATTCATATCTGCAGGAGGCCGTTTGTTTAACACGATTTTAGGCTTGATGTCACTGCTTTCTGTCCTCTTGGAGCCATTAGAAGCCAAAGGCTTCTTCTCAGACCCAGATTTCTTTATCACACTGGACTTTGATGGAAGTCTGGAAGACAATGGTTTCTCGTCTTCAGAATCACCAGTTGTAGCTGCAGTGCTTTCTTTAATCTTTTGTGATGTAGTTGAAGTAGGCATAGGAGATGGATTGCTTCTTTGAACTGCCCCTGAAGAAGAAGGAAATTTTGCACTCAAAGGTAATCCATCTTCAGAATCATCGGAAACTTCCCTTTTTACGCGTGACTTATTATCCACATTTTCATTTCCTGCTTTATGTTCTAATGAATGTTTCACCACCCTCGCGGTCGCGGGATTTAGAGAATTGGTCTTCTGCACTGCAACAGAAGCTGAATTAAATCTGGAGCTCAATGGTTTGCCATCATCAGAATCATCAGAATTTTCAACTTTGTCACAAGAATTGTTTGTATGTGAAGTTTTTACGCTCACACTTGGTAATCCATTTTTTGATGAATGATTTGGTTGTCTAAGAGAAGAAGCACCGGAATTAGAGGTCACTGCACTAGACTTTGCAGATGATAACTTAGCATTAGAAATCACTTTATTCTTTTGTGAGCTTGAGCTCTCACCATTGCCATTACGGACATTGTGACTAGATACAGGCCTTTCTCGAGTTTCTTCATGCTTCTGAGATAATGACTTCTTCAGAGCAGAATTTAAATGACTTTGCTTGGACGTGGTGTTTGTTCTTTTGAAAATTGCAGGTCCATCATCGTCATCATCTTCACCATTATCATGAAACACTGGTTTGGGACGACCATCAACAGCCATAGTTCCTGGTTAGTCTCTGCCACAAAGAGACAAATTTCAACTGTGTCAAAAGAAGAAAATACTGTTACAAAGAATCATTCCCAATAACATCCAAACACAGAAAATCTAGTAAAATATGGAAGAATCAGACTAAGTCTGAAGCTAATATACTAACAAAATATAGATTGCAAATTATTTGCAAAACAACTCCAGCATGCATATTTGTTCCTACCATTTCCTCCATCACCAGTGCACGTTCTTCTCACTCCATCCACAACTACAACCCCCATATTCATATCTCCTTTATTTTCAACGTCCCACTTTCCTACTCATATATCTTCTTTTTATTTATGCTAACGTGTTTTTTTGGTTCACACATTTAACCTCAATATAACCAAGAATTAGAAGTATAAAATCAACAAAAAATGCTCTAAGTTTGTCAAAAGAACAAAAAAAAAGGACATATGTTGTTGTGAAGTCATGACATATGAACCCCAAAAATAATAATAATAATAATAATAATAATAATAATAATAATAATGCCTCTCTTTTTATCTATCAATGTACCTATGAAGCGTGGATGACTCTTTGTAAAGCCATGGCAAGCTGAAAATACACTAGAAACCATATCGCAACACTCCTAGAGACACATACTTGAAATCTATTGGTGCATCAATTCATAGTGTCATATCATACCGCTGTTGCCCCATGTATCTCCTATTAGCCACTTGTGCATCTTTGAAAGAAATGCAAGAAACTTCCGAACTTTGCTCTAGCGTAAGATTCTAATCCAAATTGTGAACAAACACACTTTCTAGAAAGATTCCATATAAACCATTGCCTATATCGTTGGATGCGGCAGCGCATGGTTCTTTTCCCAAAGGAAAGAAATAAGATCACTGAAGATCAGAACTTTGGCTATCTTTGCAATAGAGAGACTCCATTTGTGCCTCAAACTCTTTATGACCCTCATTTACATAGTATGAGATCAACCTCATAACACAATTTAGAACACGTAACCATCACAAATATTACCCTAATTTGATATGCAAACAATTTCACTAAAGATCCAGCAACCCTAGAGATGATCCCAACCAATAACAAGCACAATGCATCATACATCCATTAATTCAAGATCAAGAACGCATCTTTATTCATGAAATCACCAGAAGAAACCTCACCGATTGCATTCAGACCATCAATCGAAACGCCGTCCCAATCTACAGCTCACCACAAGATATCGATGGAACCGAGGAAGGTGCCTGAAATTTTCCCCGAGAAACCCTAGAGCAGCTGGGAATCGAGAAGTGATTCGAGAAATTGAATGATTTGGGGGAGAAATTAGGGTTTCTCGGAGTGAAATTAGGGTTTCTATTGAGCTGCCCTCTCCCGGTCTTTATTGAACTAATCCAAATCCAAAGGGGGAGAGAGGCTACGTTTGCAAGGGATGATCTTTTGCAGTAAAGCCCCTCATGCTTTTCTAAATTATTATTCTTATTACTGTCATTATTACAGGCTTTTACTTTTTTGTTAAAAAAAGAAAAGAAAAGACGGGAAGAGTACTGACTTACTGAGTTCTGAAATTAATTGGCAAACATATGATGTCAGAAGTTAGAGAAATTGCAATTAATTAGACCCAAAAAGTCAAGGGTTTTGATGAAAAATTAGATGAGTGATGAAAACGATGAAAATTCATGATGTACTTGATATACGGTCTGAAATGGACTTGATAAATCATATTCGCAACTTATTAACATTGGATCTAGATTTTGTATTTGCTAAAAATCAACTACATCTTTCAGACTTAAAGAGCTGTAAACGATTTTTTTTCAAATGAGGAAAATGAGTCTAAACAAAATTAGGAGAGATTTTCATTTTCCTATTTTTTTCCTAATTCCTTTTGAATAATACGTTTTATTACTATAATCAAAATGCTGCCGGTTTCTTTTGTATATGAAGAATCCTTTGTAAAGAAAAGATATCTTTACGTATAAATTACGAAAGAAGTTATCCTATGTATGGATTAAGAACCGGGAAGTTCCAAATCAAGGTCCACTATGGGAACAAGTTAATGTAGGATGTGGTGTTTTATTAGGGCGGAAAAAAAAGTATTCGTGTCCGAAGAGATATATGTATTTATATCTGTTAGGATAAAGTATGTTTACTAAAATCTATATCTGATAGGATATGGTTACTAATATGGATATGCAGTTAAATGTTCGTTTCTGATCCAAATATATGCCGGACATACGATTACAATACTTTTAATCCTCGGACTATAATAGATATAATGTTAGTTTTGATGATTATTAAAAATAGATCTTAGTTTTTCAGATATAACTAAAATATTAATGGACTCTCTTGTACCATGTGAGCTATATTTTTCCTATGGTGATTATGTATCAAAATAGAAAAAAATTCTAGCTAGTCATATATTTCCATTATTTATTAGTATTAGAATAGTATCTGATTTTTATTTAGTGATAAGTGCGTGTACTTACATATATACACTACTTATAAAAGAGAATACCCATACCAAAACTTTTTTATTTCCTTTTTTACCCTCTCAAGCTTTTTATAACTCACAATTATACCATTATTTATAAAGATAAATGATCCATAATCCCTCATTACCTATGCGCCTCTTTATTTTCTCAAATTATTTGGTCATTAACTAGAATTTATTGATAATTTATAATGATTAAATTTTTTATAAATATAAGATAATTATTATAAAGAATTAATAATTATATAAAATAGTAATAATTATTTATTTATATAGTACATAATTATAATTATTAATAATAGTATAAATGGGGTTTACTTTTTTATGTTGTAAATAATATTACCTTGTTTGATAATTAATATTGTCTTATTAATATAAATTTGGATGTTATAAATTAAAAATATATTCATTTTGGAATATAATTTTTTATAAAAATATTTGGATTCTTGAAACATATAGTTTTCTTTTCTTTTTCCCAAAATATTTGGTCATTCACTAGAGTATATTAATAATTTATAATGATGAAGTTAATAAATATATTATAATTAATTATAAGGAATTATTAATTTTAATGAAATAACAAAATTATTTATCTAATAATTTATTATACATAATTATAATTATTAATAATAGTATAAATATGGATTTATTCTTTATATTGTAAGGACTATTACCTTTTTTTATATTATAGTATCGTCTTAGTAATAAAAATTGGATGTTATGAATTAAAAATACTTTTATTTAGAAAAATCACTTTATATAAAAATATTGGATCCTTAAAATTTAGGATACATGCACTTTTTGTTGGAAAGCAAATGTCTCATAAACTTCAAGAATCCAACATTTTTATATAAAGTACCTTTCCTAAATTATAGCATTTTTAATTTATACCGTCTAATTTTGCATTAGTTATGGACAATATTGATGTAATTAAAAATATGTATGATACAGTAACAACTAGAGTAAAAACTAATGAAGGAGAGACTAAACCATTTCCTATTACCATAAGTTTACACCAAGAGTCAGCTTTAAGTCCTTATCTTTTTGCATTAGTTATGGACCAACTTATTAATCACATTCAAGATGAAATTTTATGGTGTATGTTATTTGTTGATGATATAGTATTGGCTGATGAAACTAGAAGAGACATTATTGCTAAAGTAGACAGATTGAGACAAGCTCTTAAGTCTAAAGGATTTAAAATTAGTAGAATAAAAAAAGAATATATAGAATGTATTTTTAGTAAAAGTAGGAAAGAAATAGAGCCTAGGGTACATATTGATGGCCAAAAAAATACCTAAAACTAATCATTTTTGCTATTTAGGATCTATCATTAGGCATGATGGTGAGATAGAGGATGATGTTGTGCATCGAATCAAATCGGGATGGTTGAAACGGAGGAGTGTTTGAGGAGTTTTATGTGATCGTAGAATACCAATGAAACTAAAGAAAAAATTCTATAGGACGGTTATAAGACGAACTATACTTTTTATGGGTTATAATATTGGGCAATTAAAAATAACATGTTTAAAAAATGAGTGTAGCAGAAATGATAATGTTGTGATGATCTTGTGAGTATACATTAAAAGATAGGATAAGAAATGAATGCATCCGTAATAAATTAGAGTTTGCACCTATTGAGGATAAAATGAGAGAGAATAGATTAAGATGGTTTAGTCATGTACAAAGGAGACATCTTAGTGCACTGATTAGGAAAATGATAATATTAGAGTTAATGGTGCTAGGAGATCTAGAGGTCGACCTAAAATGACTTGGTCAGAGCAATTAAAAAGAATATGATTAAGACTAATGTAACGGAGGAAATGACCCGCAACAGATTGGAATAGAAAAATAGGATTCATGTAGCTGAACCCAAACATTTGGGAGAAAGGCTTGGTTGTTGTTATTGTTGTTGTTCGCACTTTCAAGCGCTTTGGCGAGCAAAAAGGGCTTGAGCGCTATTGTTAACCGCAATCAATGAAGTCATAGTTGTAGCTTCTGTTACCGTTATTTGCACCGCAATAGCGCCGCTATTTGCAACAGTGGTGTTGAAGCAACGAAATTGTGAGCTCGCATAGCCATCAATATATTTTCTGTTTGTTAAGACTGTCTTATAGTTTATTGAAGTCATAATTTCAAACTAATCCTAATCTTAACGAACAGACAATCGTCAAGGCTACTCTGCATAAACCCATCAACAACCCCATTTTTTCCTCAAACTTTTAGATCCAACAACAAATACAGCAGTACTCATTTGATTTATCAACACTTCCAGGTAAGTCCTTGTGTTCGAAGCAAATATATGATTACTCATGACTATCAAACCGTACAAAATGATTTTTTTAAAGGAAAGAGAAATCTTGATGTAATACCATGATGGTCATTTATACATTAAAACTCCTAAAAATGGAGCTTTTTAGAAAGAATGAGAAGAAGCATATGAATCTTTTACTGAGTAATAAGAGCAATATGTCAAAGTATAATTACAGCCAATTGAAGACATTGTTAATGCAATTAAACTTCCAAAAATTAATAAATCTCAATAATCTATTTCATTGGTGTATACAACTTTCTGGTATCACAATACTAATGGCTTCTGCTCTACTTAAACCATTTAGGGCATGTTTGATTCGTTTCATGGAAACCTTTTTTTGTTTTGTTTTAAGGGGGGGGGGGGAGGAATCAAAACATCACGTGTGGGGCCCACTTCTCCATCATTTTTAACATGTTTCCACTCAAAACAAACTGAAATAGGTTTTTATGTTTTGTGAAAACCTGCTACATTATTAGCATCTCTGAGTGTAGGTCCCGTACATGTTCTTTTCCCCTTTTTCTTTATTCCAACCAAACCAAAGAAGAGGGGGGGTCAGCTGACCCTGTTTCCCGAGCTTGCTACGAACGAAACAGCTCCTAAGTATAATCTTTAGAATAAAAGCAAGGGAAATTTTTTATTCATAGCTAAAGTAACAACACGTTAACATTTACAAGGCTTGTCATTTATCATAAAAATCACCTCTTTAGAGCATCTCTAACAATCTCTTAGTAAGGAGCTCTTGTTGGAATGCTCTCAAGCATGGGGCCCACTTAGGAGCTCCATACTAGGAGAAATATTCCAACAAACTCTCAACTAAGAGTTCAAATATTATTCAAAAAATATATTCTCCTAAAAATAAAATTTTATAAATATATTTTAAAATAATAAATTTAATAAAAAAATAATTTTTAATGGCCCCCACTCCTTAGGAGCTCCCAAGTGCTCTACAAATTTGTGGAGCTCTTAGGAGCTCCATGGTGGGCCCCGCCACCAACTAGAACTTAGGAGGGTGCTTGAGAGTTTGTTGGAACACCTTAGAAGCTTTTTCCTTGCCACATCATCCATACGAGCCTCTTGGGAGGCTCTTGGAGATGCTCTAAGAGCAAGTCCAGCAAGCTCCCAGTTGGGAATCCTAGTTAGCAAGCTCACAAGCATTTTGGAATAATTTTTTTTTAAAATAAGCACTGGGGGGCTCTCTTTATTTTATGGAGATCCAACAAGCTCCTAGTTAGGAGCTCCAACAATATCATTAAAAACCCTCTTCTATTTTAATTTTTTTACCAATTACTTTCAATTATATTTAAAACTTTTTTATTTCATTTCTAACCGTTGGATACGGCCTTCGAGGGAGCGCACATGGAAATGGCAAAATATTAATAAAGCAGTTGTATTCATTCAATGTCAAAATATTAGCAACTGCTAGTATAATCATAAATCTATTACAAGATAATATTTGATAATTAGGAAGAACTAATGAGGATGTGATGCGAGTACAATCATAAGTCTAATACAAGATAATATATGATAATTAGTGTAATAACTCCTCCGCAGCCGAAACTGACTTGGCCGGGATAAAATTGGCACTCGCCTAATAAA